CCCTAAACCCTAAACCCTAAACCCTGAAACCCTGAAACCCTGAAACCCTAAACCCTAAGCTTCCCTAGACTCTGTGACCCCGGAGTTGTTCGATTAACCAAAATATCCAACCACCCAATACTACTAAGCCCTAAACCCTAAACCCTTAACCCTAAACCCTAAACCCTAAGCCCTTAACCCTAAACCCTAAACCCTAAACCCTAAGCCCTTTACTCTGAGACCCTAAACCCTAACCCCTCAGACCTAGACCGTAAACCCTTACCTTTCAAGTCATTTTTTGGCTGCCGCTGGTTATGTCAAGCTGCTCCACATATTCTCGCCTCTATCGTCACCAGATAATCATAGACCTTAAATCCTACCGTCTGCACCCGAATAGAATGACCGGTCATTATAGCCGTATTTGGTGCAACTTTCAGTGTACATACAGGGATAATGACCGGGCATTCTATTCGAGTGAAGACGGTATCTCTAACCCCTAAACAAACCAGGAGCAAACAGCAGTAGCATGGATTGCTGTGTAATGAGGTGAAAAGGACACAAAGAACTGTAGGCAATTGGCCAATAGCGGCTACAGATGACCACTGTGTGCAGAGACTGAGCCTCCTGCTTCCACATGTTAGCATCACCATCAAATGCATGGGAAGCAAGTTCGACAGACGAATGAGCGCGACCTTAATTGATCAAATTTCATCCTTTTCAATCTTTTCGATAGGTGCAGAGGTAAATCCTTTTTTTTTTTTTTGCCTCTTTTTCCCGCCGAAGTGAATCATCATAATTGATCGATGTCACCCTTTCCAATCTTTTTCGACAGGTCTTTGGCTTGCGCTCCACAGACTTACTTCGGGGAAATTTCCAACTTAAAGAGCGTACGAAGTAAAGCTCGCAAGGTCTTTGGCTTGCGCTCCACAGACTTACTTCGGGGAAATTTCCAACTTAAAGAGCGTACGAAGTAAAGCTCGCAATGATCTGTGAGGCTCCACAGCTCACAGGCTTCGCTATTGATACGAATAAATTGTTGTGCCATCGCCTTCGTCTTATACGGGCAGTGCCGACCGGATGTGGCCCAGTTCGGCCACTTCTACACAGGAACCCACAAAGCAATACTTGGTCTGATAGTGTATGTTACGGCCTCTCCACGCTAATGAGCAGCAGAGACTCCTAGAAAGGACTCCAATCACACCGGACTACTACAAACTGCAACGGTTACCTCCGTTCTTCTGGCAGTGAGTGAAAATTTGTCAGGCATGCAGTGGAGCTCTGAACATTGGAGTCCTTTCTTGACCAGGTGCATTAGGAGTCCAAGATTTTGAATGCACTTGGTCTACTGAACGGTCCAGATATAATAGAATGTTCTGTAGCGCTGTGAGGCCCATTGACCCAACCGCAGTGGAGCTCTGACCATTTCAAGGAATTTCTCTAACTTGAGTCGGTGGAGCACAAGCCTTCGGATGGGTCAATGGGCCTCACTGCGCTACACAACATTCTATTGTATCTGGACCGTTTAGTAGACCCAGTGCATTCAAAATGTTGGACTCCTAATGCACCTGGTCAAGAAAGGCATCCAATTACATGTACAATATTGAGTAGTGCAGTGAGGCCTGCTATCACTCTTTCAATGACTCTTCCGATGAGTCATTATCAATCTAAGACTTTTGATTAGTTCGTTACCACCCTGCACTTCACATCATCACAAGGACTACCCTGAGAGCCTGTCTGACAAACACGACGTACAAGACTGTAGGGCCATGTAGGCAAAATGTGACAGTCAAGACAAACTCAAGGAAAAAACGCTACAGTTACAGCCGGTAGCCAGGAGATTATGCCTGCAGAAAGCACGGGAAAAAACAAAGAGAGAGAGAGAGAGAGAGAGAGAGAGAGAGAGAGAGAGAGAGAGAGAGAGAGAGAGAGAGA